CATAGGGATATTTGTTTCAGGGTGGTTTATATAAAACAGTAATTCATTGGGAATAGTTGAAATTTTTAACAATCAAGTTTATAAGTAATTGTACATGTTCAACATGGAATACTATTAAGACCAATACATACTGTAAAAAGCTTTGCTTTAGGGTGTAATACAAGTGGAAAAAGCAGAAAGAAAGATGTGTATCGCAACACTGTTTGGTAAATGATACATAGTCATTTCAATTTCTGCCTAGAAAAACTCTGAAAAGGTGATCAGTATCAAGGATTTTAATTTTTAGCTTAATCTGTGTTTTTTCTAGTAAGCTTGGACTATTTGTGCAAAAATAAAAATTTTAAAACATATTGTTGGCAAGCGCATGTGTTACTAATTCAAAGTACCTGATATTTTCTTAATGACCATAAAAGCTGTCAAGTTTCCCCAAAAGCATTTATCTTTGGAGTTTTGCACTTGGTTTTAGAGCTCAGTTTTCATAAATTAAAATCTAAATCTAACAACATTCAGAGGTTGGAGAGAATTTTACAAAATTTTTTTAAAACATAGGCAGCTTATCAGAACTGACTGTAGCTGCAGAAAATGCTTTTTAGGCAAAAGAAAATGGTTTTCAGAATATTCATTAAAATAGATTCAGGAAGACAGATTTTCCAGAGATCTAAAATTGTGTCTAACCAGACATGGTGGCATATACCTGTAATCCCAGCACTTAGGCAGTAGAAGCAGAAGGATTTCAAGTTCAAGGCCAGCCTGGGCTACCTAGGGAGTTCTAGTTCAGTCTAAGTTACGTAGTGAGAACCTTCTCTAAAAATCAAGTGCTGGGATGTGCAAGGCCCTGGGTTCGATCCCCAGCTCTGTATGGGGGCTAGAAGGGGAGAAAGTTGTGCCTAGTGAAACAATCAGCCAGCCATTCTGAGTATATCAGTTTTCTGATTCCCATAAGAACAATTGGAGACAATAATTGGTAATTTTCTTACCCAATAGTTAAGTAGATATAGCAAAATAAATTTATAAATATTATCTTGCAAAAAACTGAATGAGAATATGATTTATAATTGTTCATATACTTTTCACTAGTATTAGAAGAGTTGTTCTAGCAGAGGCCAAAGTACTAATTTTTTTAAGTCAAGAAGACCAGACAGAATAATTAATAGGAGTGAAAGGCTATGTCTTTAAGTACACAATTAGGTAGTGTTTATGTGAAAAGCTTACATTCAAGTTGGAACAAATTTTATGTTGGGAGGAAGGTTTTATTAAAGCTATAATAATTAAGCTTTCATTGAGTAGAATGAGAATTATTTTGTATTCTATATTTTATAATAAAATCAAATTTCCTTAATTCCTAATATTTCCCTATCTACACTAAATATATGCTTGTAAATTTAGCTTGATATGGACATATCTTCAATAAGAATAACTAATGTTTAATAGAGTTGCTTAATGTAAAGATGGCCTTTTATTTAGATTATTTTATAGGAGCCTCACACAAGCACTGAGAGAGGTTATAACTGGCCCAAAGACACACAAATAACATGTGGCAAATTCAGTCATAAAATCCAGATGCTAATTAAATTAGTACTAATTTAAATGTATGTATATATGTGCATATATATGTATTATGTGTGGTATCTCCAAAGAGGACTGACTCAAAGATAAATTATTTTGCCAAACTGTACTGAATCTAATACAAACTCAGTCTGTAACAATTAAATCATGGTACATGCAAGTTCATTTTTAGGTTCAAGTGTTCTCTTAGGTTCTTTTCCATGGTGTTTTCTCCTGCCAAGAAGTCTGGGATGGGAAACTCTGTCTCACCTAAAATCTCACAGTAGCACCACAAGTAACTCATGCAAAACCAACACACACACACACACACACGATTTTCTGTTTGTATTTTTGATGACAGGCTGACAGGAGACTGTGTATAGTTATCTCATTTTCAGCTCAAAACTAGTTTCTGCCCCACAATGGCAAGGGTAACAGAAACAGAGAACTTCAGATTATCCTGTTGGTGGGGAATCCTGTACATATTTTGATCCCTTGAGAAGTCTATTATAACTACCCATTTAGCAATGAGCAGCTCTTTGTAGAGAAGATCAATTTACCAAAGTTAATATTTATTTACACCTTAAAGCTTTACACACACGCACACTTAGTTAAACTCTCAGAGAGTAGTCATTAATGGCATGATGACTCAATTTATAGTCTTTAATTTTCTTTAAACCCTTTAGCAGGGAATCAACATTTATTGCGTATAAATGTGGCAAACACACATTAAATTTTCTCATGTGCTATACATACAGGAAATTACCAATTAATCTTGGTTGCAGTCCTAAGAGCTAGATATCACTATAACTATATTTCATTATAGGTTTAGCACTCAACTACACTACCACACAATCTGTCTCCCACAGAGTGTGTTGTGTATAGTAAGATGGAATGATTGAATTAATTCTAGTCCCAGAGGGTAAGTGGGAACCACTGATAAAATGAGAATCAACTATGTAGTAAAAATTAATGCATCTCTGCTTTTAAGCTTATGCAAAGGATCAAGTACTTTAATTGCATATTTAACTAATTTATTCAAGCTGATATAAAATAAAATGTATAAACATAGACTACATATTGATTGAGGCATATCCATAATGCTATTTGAAATAAGGTAGGATTTTTTTAGTAAGAGTGGACCCTTAAGTTTTAAACAAAATTGTGGCAAACACATGGTTTTATTAACAAACTTAAAACCAAAAAAGGTAACAAGTAAACAACCAGTGATGAAATTGTCAGGGATATCACACATATAAACGAACTTATAAAATCATTTTCATAAATTGGGAGTACTTCTCAGTCTCTTCTCTCAGATCATCTTGGCATTATCAATATGCATAAAACAATAGTTCTTTATATTACTTTGGGGAAGAAATTTGTTTATTGTACTATAATCACAATTTTGCAGTTTTGAATATAAAAAAGGCATTGCTTTTGTACTTGTCAGAACAATTTCTTATTCTTAGAAATGAAAGTGAATAACTCACTTACAGAAATAAAATATATTTAGATTCTGCTTTAAAATGGCATTGTATTAATGAGATGATACTATAGGTATGAGATTGATGTCATGTAATGGTTTGGAGTAAAGATCTACATTGACTTTGTTTTTGAAAGCAGTTTGCAGGTTGCGCCCAGATGGAATGCTATTAGGTCCAGATTTCTTTCTCTATAATAAAAATCTGAGTCACTAGAAAGCATCCATCTATAAAAACTTTCTAGAATAAAAAATAATTTTGTAAAGGTAAGACTGATAAGCTTCTGACAGGAAAGACTTAATATGAATTATTTCTCAGAAAGTTAATTAATTAAAAGCCTGGATTAACCTCTATTAAACATCTGATTACAAAATTCTAGCACACATGATACCCAGTTAATCTTCATAATAACTTCATGGTTTTGGTGGTTCTGGGGTTTGAACTCAGGGCTTCATGCTTGTGAGGCAGGCACCCTATCTCTTGAGCCAGGCACTTAGTCCTTTTTGCTCTGCTGATTTTGGAGTTAGGGTCTCAATTTTTGCCCAGGCTAATCCTCCTATTTTACCCTCCCTGTGTCACTGGGATGACAGGCATATGCCTCCATGCTCAACTTTTTTTCTGTTGACAGACTGGCCTGGAATGGTGATTCTCCCTATTTCAGCTCTCAAGTAGTTAGGAGCCACTAGAGCCTGACTCTTCATAATAATTTTATTGTGACAAACACTGTTAAACCTCCTCTAAGGAGGGAGAAGTAAAAGCTCAGCAGGGAAGAAGTTGCTGGTGGTTCTCACACCAGCAACCAGAATTAAATCTACATTCATTTGGTTTGGTCTACAAACTGTTACCTCCTGACTCAGGGCTCTGACATAGGAAAGGTTGATATCTCATTACAAATCTCGCTGAACTAAACAGTCTGTCAATATTAAGCTAAATAAAGTCACTCTTCATTATCCGTGGAGTCTGTATTTGTGAATTTGCCTACATCCCTAAATTAATTTGTGTCCTCCAAATCTTCACTTATAGCACTTTCACATTCCTTTACAGATATGTGACAAGTAGTGAAAATGTGAGTTTCCCGATATGCACATTTTAAGTTGAGGTCAAGCAAGGTGATTCGGAGCCTTGTTGTTCTAGCGCTCACACTGCCATTAAGTGTCCTGGTCCCCATCTCTTTAGTGCCATACTTTTACATTTCTGTACTTTTTGTTGGTGATTTTGCTGTTTAAGTTGGTCCCAAGTGTACTGGTGAGGTTCTGTGTGGAGTTCCAAAGCTCACAGGTGGTTTAGTGGGAAAATATGTGTGATGCCTTCTTTAGGTACAAGTTCTAATTGTGTTCCCCATGAGTTTAATTGTGATGAATTAGCAGTGATATTAAATGAGGTGTCTTTCAACAGAAATACACATAAGTCACAATTATGCATTTAGCAATTTATGAAAATGGGGAGAGCAGAAGTTTATAGAAAGCTGACTCTGTGTTTCTCTTAGAAGCAGTGGTTCAGTATCAGCTAGTTTAATGTCTGCAGACACTTCACAGAACAGTACAATGAAGAACAAGAACGAATTGCATATGGTTTCACCAGTATTTTAACGGTGTATTTCCAGAAATGAACTTCTTGCCCTTGAATTTGAGTTTCATTATGTTGTAATTTTACTGGATGTGCAAAACGTTTTTCAGGGATTCACCTATTTTCTATAAATCTTGGTATTAGCTTCCTATTGCTGCACCCTTCTGACCTCTGCTTCCATCAATGCTTCTCAGACTCTTCTGCCTCCTTCTTCCAGTCATAAGGATGTTTGTAATTGAGGATGCAGCTTCTCACCCTGTGAATTATTTGATCTCCAGTCAAAATTCACTTTAGAATAGTACCATTATAAAGCAAAAGACTTTTTTATTTTTGCATCTTAGAACTGTAAATTAAATCCAACATTGGGGTAACACATTGTGCCTGTGATTTCTTTATTCCTATTTCTAGTCCTCAGAGCCAAGGAAAACCATTTGTATGTCCAGAGAAGAGTTCATACAAAAGATGACAGAGATTGTTGGATGGGGCACAAAAGAAGAATATGGGGACCTCTTTGACAAAGTGGATGTGGCCCAAGATGGCTTCATTAATTGGGACAAGCTAAGTTCATTTATACTGTTATCACTTTATGAGAAGGATGAACGAGCAAAGGCAACTGTGGTTCCCCAGTGGAAGGAACTTGAATTCCTTCCAGGAAAACACAAGGACACCATTCAAAAAGTAGTTTTCTTAAAAAGTTCAAGTCGTTATCTGACTGTCAGTAAAGAAGGTTTATTAGGATTCTGGGGAGAGAATTTAAAGCTGCAAGAAACACTTCCTATCACTTCAGATGCTACCAAGCTCAAACACTTGTGGGTGACGAGTCTGGTTTCTCTGGAAAATGTAAACAAGGTACAAAGTCTTTAAAAGTAAATTTATTGCTTGGAAAAGGGGAAAAATGGTGGGCCAAGGGTCTTGATTAATATTGAGTATAATACCAGCAGTGACAGAGAGTTCCATTGTGCTTTTGGGTGCCTCTCCTTTGATCTGGAGGGAATCGAAGTAGAACCAAAGGAACACTCAATTTCCTAAGCTGTTCACTATGTGCATTAAAGTGATACCACTGATAATGACTCAGACTCTTGGCTCTCTTCCAAATGGCCATGCTGCATCATTAGCTGATAAGATCATTACTCCTTCATAGTTTACAACAGGATCATGGGTCCTTGTACAGAGCAGAGAGGCTATTATCGTGCATGGTACAGCCTACTGCAGTTAACAAGAGGAGCTTATTTGACTGTACTGGTCAGTTTCTTAATTCTAATAGATGGGGCCTACATAGTCCAGATATCTTCATCTACCTATACTTGTGACAAAATAAGATATTGCAAGGAAAAAGAAACTTTGTAGTAGATTAGAGTATCCACATTTTTTTTGCTACAATTTAAAATGCACACATAAGCAGAGAGAACCTGATCTACCCTGGATCCTTGTAACCATGTTTGATTCACAGCCAATCTTATTTCTTCCAAACCTACTGTATTAAGATAAAAAGCATCAAATCATTCCATTTGTAAATATTTCTGCATTTCTAAAAGATATATTGTTAGCACAACCAAAATTTCAGCATCACACTATTAATAACAATATTTCCCTAATGTCATCAAGTATCTATTCAGGTGTATATTACCATGATTGTATTATAATTTTTAAATTTTTGTCTAAATCAGTATCTTACTAAGAGGCTGGCTGTGGATCATACTTGTAATCTCAGACACTCCAGAGGCAATAAGAAGATCATGGTGTGAGGCTGGGCTGAGAAAAAGCAAGAGATTGTGGGCATGGCTCAAGTAGTGGAGCACTTGCCTAGGAAGCACCAAAAAAAAAAAAAAAAAAGAAAAGAATTTCAAAGAAAGATCTGAGTAAGATCGACATGCTGTGAATGATGGATATGTATCTTTTTTTTCTTTCATGGCACTGGGGATTGATCTTATGGTCTTGTGCTTGCTAAACAGATACTCTACCACTGAGCTACACCCCAGTTCTGATATCCTTTTTCTGTCTGTACATTTTTCTTCATCTCTTTTTCTTTCTTGCATTTTTGGCTATTGCAGTTGGTATTTTTGCAGATACTGGATGTTTGTCTATGAGAGTTTTCCATATCTGGATCTTGAAGTGTGGTCATAGGGCTCTTTGTCATGCCCACCTGTTGCTTACATTTCCAATGAGTTGGTAGTAAAGCTAAGACCTTTCTCAGTTTCAGGTTTGTTTGCTTGTTTGGAATGGGAAGTTATGTGTTCTTTATTCAGTGTGTACAAAATGCTTCATTCTTTCCTGCCTTAGGCTGGCACTAGTTATTAACCATTATTTCTTGATCCACTCATTTATTTGAGGTTGACAGATGATGATAACCTAATCTCATCAGTTTCTCTTCCTTTACAGTCTGAAATGACACTATAAAAAGAAATTTCCCTCCTTAATTATTTAGTTATCATGAAATACAAATATATAACAAAAGCAGGATAAATACCCAATTCTTCACTTTTATTTACCAGTTTTCAAAATAACTAGCTGGCTTCCTAGTATCTTCTAAAGATGAACAATTAATACTACTATTATTACTATTTTCAGTAAAATTAAAAATTTGTGGGTTTAAAAGTTTATATGTTTTCAATCCACTGAGTTATTTATTACCCTATGCCAAAGATCATACCATCTTTAGAAAGTAGGAATTAACACAAGTCTGCTTCAGAGTGCTATTATAACTATAGCAGTCTGTGAAAGCTTCCTTGATTCCTGACATAAGAGGAAGCTCCAAGATTGTGTATTTCCTATGTCAAACTAGAATCAGCTCTTCTCCAAAGAGTCAGGTTCTTTTTAGTGGGAGAAATAGTGTGCTGTACTGCCGTAAAGTACATTGATCATCATTAACTTCCTATTAGCACGCTCTGATCTAATGTCTCAAGATCATCATGATGAACATATTTTTTCCCACTCTGAGGGTGAGAGACTGAGCAAGAGGTTGTGTAATTTTTCCTGGTCACGTAGCAGGTAAATAGTATGGTCAAGAGTTATAAACTGAGGCAACTGCTCTTCAGAGCCTCGCTTCAGCCTTTATTGCCTCTGTAGTGACTGCTGACGTTTTATCTGGTTGTCCGTTGTTAAGGGTCTGTTGCTAATGCTTAAACGCATCAAAATATAGTTTAAAACACTAAAAGATAGCTCTAGTCCACTTTACATTTTTATATTTGTGTGCAACATTCTGTGATTATCCTGAACTGTCTTCTTTTCCTGTTGAATTTCAGCCCATTTTTTCTATCCATTATTGAAAGTTGAGTGCTGTTCTTGAAATGTCTGTTTTTCTCTTCAATTCTTTCAGTTTTTGCTCTTTGCATTTTGGGGCTCTATTAGAGAAATGCAAATTCTATCTTGTTGGTAAATATATTAAATCTACATGACTCAAATACTGGCAATGCTTCAGACATTTTTTCCTTTACTTTTTTGAACATATTTGCAATAGCTGAGCTAAAGTCTTTGTCCACTGAATCCAGTGTGTGGGCTTCTACAGGGACAGTTTCTACTGATTGATTTTTGTGTTGTTAAATAATTTACTCTTTTACAAATAGCCTTTTATGATTATAGGATCTAGAATGAGACATGTACACAATTTTTATTAATTGATTTTTGTGAAATTCTCTGCATGCTTCATAAAACATGGTTACTAAAATTTCTGGTATGATTGTGTAATGGTATACCTCTCTGTGCCTTTGTCTTTCCTGTATAATTACTTCTGCAACCTCCTATGGATGGAGGACACTCATGGGTGTGTGGAGTAGAAAAGGAAGAAAGGATATGTATAAATTCCTTTTATGGTAATAGTTCTTTTTTGCTAGAGTACAAAGTTAGAATAAAGAACATTTGTGCCACTGTGCTATACTTCTGTAATAATTTTAAGGACCCTCACAGAATAATCTCTGATTTGGTGATTATATTTGCATGTCTACTTTGCATATTGAATTTACTAAATCCACATTAAATACCTTCTGATTTTCTATTTTGCTACTTTAGATAGCAGTGGCTTTTACAAGTAAAGAGATTTGTTTCTATGATCTGCTGTCCAAAGAATTTCCTTGTCAATACAAACTCCAAGGCCTGAAAGGAACACCAATTTGCATGGATTATTGGTATGATCCTCTTGACACCAACGAATCAATCCTTTCTTTTGGGGATATAACTGGAAAGGTAAGTGAAAGAAGGATAAGATTGAACATTATGAAATTAATTAGAAACTGTAGTTCAAAGTAGAAATTGAATTGCCCTGAGTATGACCTATATTATAGATTATAAGGTCATACATATTGGACATGAAAGGTATTGATTAGATTATAATTCTTTATCTTGCTTATAAAAACAAATCTTCATTGTGTTTTTCTAATCTGTGTATAGTTGCAATTTCCTATTTAGAAAAAAATCTTGCCATCTTTACTCCATAAAATGCTTAATCTATTAGATCTCAGTAATAATAAATATTAAATGTCTAAATTTATCTCCCATAATTATTTAAACTTAATTGTTCTGATTTTCATTCATAAGGTTTTGGGATGCTTAATACCAGTCAACTAAAGAGTGCTAATTTCCTGTATCATGTAACAAAGGGATAGATGCATTAGAGAGGGTAACTATGAAACCTGGACATTGGATACAGTGATTTCTGCCTTACTATCAAATTCTACCTAACATGTGACAAATTATTACTTATTGAATGACACTACAATATGCCAGAGACCTCAGAAGCAGCTTTATTAGAACAATTTTTTTTTCATAATTGTGAAAGTTTTTCATTCTTACTGGTCTTAGTGAGAAGCATCTCTTAAAAGTAAGTGACAGGCTGTCCTTGGTAATTGCTTTACCAACCTTCTAGTTCTTTTTTTTTTTTTTTAAACATAATTGCTTGTATCCTTTAAGTAATGGTGAGGACATTTCTTATTACTTCACTATACATTCCTTATTAATCATAAAGGACATAGAATCTTCTTATGACAATTATCCAGCCTATGTTTGTTTGTCCTTCAATGACTCTCAAGGTTCAAGCAATTGTTTTCACATCAGCCTTGATTTCCCTGTTTGAACGACCTGCTAGTGCATGTGAAGATGAAGAAGCCACCATGACCATTAGCTGGGCAGAACTCTTCTCTGGATGTCACAAATGTTGCCATATATTACAACACAAACTTCATCATGGAGATTGGGTCAGGCAAGGTACTGAATTTTGACAGTAATGAAAGAAAACAGTCACTATCACCTTCTACATTTATATTCTTTGATGGAAATGTTTCACACAAAATGTTTAAGTCTAGAAACCAGTAATTGGTTCTCTAGAGGTTTTGGCCTGGACTCTGTGATACTCTCAAATCTGGCAGAGATTATTTCTTTTCTTTTCTTATAAAATTTATGCTTAATTCAATTAATTCAGGTGAACTGTGCACTTAAGAGATTTCAAGAGAAGGAAGAAAATTGTTATAGAGTCCATTAGCTTCAACCCAAGTGTGATTCTAACTAAAGTCATTCAGTCACATTCAGGGATGCTTAACAGAACTTAACAAGTTCCCTCAAAATGTATCCTTTGTTTTCTTTGTATTCTTATGGAAAATATCTGCTTCACAATATAATTGTCTTAATTTTCCTCCCTCCTTTCCTCCCTCCCTCTCTTCCTCCCTCCCTCGGTCCCTCCCTCTCTCCCTCCCTCGCTTCCTTCCTTCCTTCCTTCCTTCCCTTCTTTTTGATATAATGACCAAGTTCCTTTAGTTTAGAGTACTTAAGCAGCAGTTACCTGTGTGATAGGATTATTTTATAAAAAAGTATCTATAGAATACCAGAACATTCTTAAAAATCTAGTTATTAATAAATTAATAAGTTTCATGATATATTTTAATTTACAAAATTTGTATCTGATGGTTCCAGATCCAAATATGCAATATCTGCACTGATGTCTTGGTTTATATATCAAGGATTATTGTAATTTTGTCACTTCTGAATTGCTTCTTTAAGGCATACCCACTGAAAAGAATGGAAACCATAACTTTAATGAGTTTTAGTGGGATTAATGTTACTGGTTTATTTCTTTTTATTTATTTTTTAGTACTGGGAATTGAATTCTGGGCCTTACACTTGCTAGGCAAAAGCTCTACCACTTGAGCCAGAGCCTCAGTATGGTTTTGCTATTTACTTTGTTTTTTAGATAGGATTTTGTGCTTTTGCCTGGGCCAGCCTTGGACTGTGAATCCTACTACCATTGCTTCCTGAGTAGCTGGGAGGACAGGTGCGATGACCACACCCAGATTGTTTTTGAGATACTATGTTGCTAAGTTTTGCCCTGCCTTGACTTGAGCTGTGATGCCTCCCAAGTAGCTTGAATTAGAAGCATGTGACACCATGCCTAGTTCCTGTTACTGTTCTGTTTTTATTACATTTTATTTCATTTAAAAAATTTTTTTATTATTCATATGTGCATACAATGCTTGGGTCATTTCTCCCCCCTGCCCCCACCCCCTCCCTTACCACCCACTCCACCCCCTCCCTCTCCCCCCCACTCCCTCCCTCTCCCCCCCACCCCCTCGATACCTGGCAGAAACTATTTTGCCCTTATCTCTAATATTGTTGAAGAGAGAGTATAAGCAATAATAGGAAGGGACAAGGGTTTTTGCTAGTTGAGATAAAGACAGCTATACAGGGAGTTGACTCACATTACTTTCCTATGCATGTGTGTTACCTTCTAGGTTAATTCTTTTAAAACCCTATTTGGGAATGGGACCTGCCTGAAACTGAGGAGGGGAGGGAGGAAGGGTGGGGGAGGGGGCAGGGTGGAGAAATGACCCAAACAATGTATGCAAATAATAAAAAATAGAAAAAAAACATGACATATGCATAATGGTTACTAAAAAATAAAAACAAAACAAAACCCTATTTGGGTTTCATGAAGTTGAAATTAATTCTCTTCTAGTGTGTGCTCACAAAAATCATATCCTACATGAAGAAGTGTAAATTTCTTACTTTTTCTTCAGTGTAATACATACCATCTCTTTGATGCCTTCCATCCATTCTTTAATTTTGTCATAATATTAATTGAGGTAAAAACAAGATGCTGTTTCTTCATTATCTGCTAAGTATGACAGGCATAAAACTATGTATTAAATTTTTGTTACACTGAAATAAACATTAGAACACTAAAAATAAACTGAACGAAGCAATTTCAGCTGCTTCCAAACAGCATTATCTTTTGATACATAAGCCAAAGCCTAGACTGTATTCACAAAGTAATAGTTCTTGAAATCTACTTGTAGTAAGTTCTCTGAAGCTGAGTGTATTGTTTGAATACCATGATTTTAAGTTAATATAAACAGATAAAGAGAAGTAGCTTACAAGTGATATTTTTGGAAAGGTCGAGGGTATAAGTAAGATTATTCTTTCTGTAGATGAGTAATATCTAAATAACTTTATCATACTCAGGGAGAAAATGAAAAATTCTCACTCTAAACCTTGCTTCAATTTCATTAGTACCTCTGGTTCCCTCTTAACTGACAAAGAATATGTGAAGTTAATGTAGTATCAGCAGTATAAAATCATGTTTATAATCTAAGATACCCAACTTCAGAGTATGGCTGCTAAATGACTGCAAATTAGGAATTGGTTTCTAAAAAATAAAAAATGTATACAATTATATATAGTACTAAAGATCTTTGTTATCTTATTCAGACTATATATTTCTTAGCTTTTTATGAGCATATATTAATTGCAAAATAATGTGTTTAATTATGACATTTTCATACATGTATATGAGGTACCTGTATGAAATATACCACTGCACTGTTTATCCACACTTATCCCACTCCTGCTCCTTCTTATTCCATAAAAGTCCCACTTTTTTTTTCAGATACAGGAGAAAATGTGATATTTGTCTTTCTGAGTTTGGCTTATTTCTCAACATGATTTTCTCTAGTTCTATCCATTTTCCTTCAAATGACCTAATTTGTTCTTCTTTATGGTAGACTAACACTCCATTGTGTTTAACTTTTTCTCTTTCTTTCTTTCCTTCCTTCCTTTCTTTTCTTTCCTTCCTTCCTTTTTTTCTTTCTTTCCTTCCTTCCTTCTTTCTTTCTTTCATCTCTCTTTTTCTCTCTCTTTCTTTCTCCTTCCTCTGTCCCTCTCTTCTTCCCTCCTTCCCTCCCTAGTCTCCCATCCCTCTCCTCCCCTTCTCTTCCTTCCCTTCCCTTGTCTTACTTGTATTTTCTCTTCAGTGCTAGGAATCATTCCCAGGGTCTTGCATATGTTAGCCAAGCACTGTATATCACTGAGCCATGTCACCAGCTCTATACCACAGTTTCTTTATCAATTCATCCATTGATGGGCATGTACCTAGACTGATTCATGACTTGGCTATGGTGAATAGTACCACAATAAACATAGTTATGAAGGTATCTCTATTGTATGCTGCCTTTGATTCCTTTTTTAAGTATATTTTTAGGAGTGGTATAGCTGGATCATATAGTAGTTTTATTTCTAGTTTTTACTTTTTTTTTTGGTTACACTGTGGTTTGAACTTAGGATCTCTCTTTGATAGGCAAGCACTCTCCACTTGAACCACATCCCAGGCCATATTTCTAGGTTTTGAGGAACCTCCATACTGATTTCCATAGTGGCTGTACTAGTTTACATCCCTATCAACAATGTAGAAGAGTTCTTTTTTCTCTGCATCCTTTCTGACATTTGTTGTTTTTTTGGTGATAGCCATTCTGAATGTGGTGAGATGTAATCTCAGTATAGTTTTGAATTGATAGTTAAAGATGTTGAACTTTTTTTTCAAGTATATATTGGCTAATTGTATTTCTTCTTTTGAAAAGTGTTCAGTTCTTTGTTCATTAGATGAGTTGCTCTATTGAACTCTTTATATATTCTGATATTAATCTCTTATTGGATGCAAAGCTGACAAAGACTGTCTATCATTTTGTATGCTGTCTCTTTATTTACTCTTGTTTCCTTTTCTATGCAGAAGCTTTTAAATTTGATGCAGTCCCATTTGTCAATTCTTGTTATTATGTCATATGGCTCTAGCTGCATGGGATTTACTTTTGGGTCCTTTAGTTTATTCATCCTACTACTTTGATAAAGTAGTTTCTAAGAGTCTTCTAGTGTATTCTTTAGGGTCTTTTAAGAATAGGATAACATTATCTACAAATAGGGATAATGTATCTTCTTCCTTTCTTATTTGTATATCACTTATTTCTTTATCTTACTTTATTCCTCTGGCTCAGTATTCCAACACTGTATCTAGTGAGAGTAGTGAGAGTGGACAACTTTGACTTGTTCCTGATTTTAGAGAAAATATTTTGCTTTTCTGCATTCAGTATGGTAATTAGTCATAGGTTTGCCTTTATTATGGTTTTGCTTTGAAGCCTTTATTAAGTTGAGGTATGCCCCTTATATCTTTAGTCTGGACAGTGCTTTTATAATGAAGGGATATTGAATTTTTCAAAGGCTTTTTTCTTCAATCATTGAGATGATTATGTGACTTTTGTCTTTAATTCTTTCATGTGCTGTATCACATTTACCAATTTGTATATGTTGAACCATCCTTGCATTTTTGGAATGAATCCAGGTTGATCATGGTATATGATTTTTTCAATGAGTTGAATTCAGTTTGCAAGTATTTTATTGAGAATTTTTGCATCTATATTCATCAAGGATATTGGCCTATAGTTTTCTTTTTTTGCTGTACATTTGTGGTTTTAGTATCAAAGTGATACTGGTTTCATAGTGTGAGTTTGGAAGCATCCCTTTCCATTCTGTTTTGTGGTTTGAAGACCATTGGTGTTAGTTCTTTAAAGGTCTAGTAAAATTCAGCAGTGAATCCTTCCTGTCCTGGGCTTTTTTTTACTGGGAGTCTTTTTATTACTCATTCAATCTTGTTGCCCATTATTTTCTGCTAAGGTTTCTTTTAGATTCTTGGTTTAATTTTGGTAGGTCACATTACCTAGAAATTTATTCACTTCTACATTTTTCCACTTTATTAGAATATAAGTTTCAAAATATTCCTAATGATCCTCTGTATTACAGTGGTACCAGTTGTCATAGCTTCTCTTTTCATCTCTTATTTGATTAATTGTGTCTTCTCTCTCCTTTTTTTGTTAATTTGGCTTAGGGTTTATCAAACTCATTTATCTTTTCAAAGAATTAAATCTTTGTTCCATTAATTCTTTGCATAA